ATACAATAATTTATTTAATGCTTCCTTTGTTTTCGTGTTTTGCGCTTACAATGGAAACTTAAATAATCACATACTGCAAATATAAGGCACCAATCGAACAACTTTGATGTATCAGGAGCTTCTGATGGTAATGTGTTGAATGCACGCATGCAAAGCATCCTGATTTTCAATGTCTTTCCAAATGTCGTTTTCCCAATAAAATTTTTCTAAGTTCTTTTTTTATTGCTTAATTATAATTTTACCACGGTTGATATAAACCTCTGTTTTTCCTTTTTTTTTCTAGATATTTATAAATTTTGTATTACTTTATTATTTTTCTACCTTTTTTCTATTTTTATCGCTTTTTTTTTATTTCTTTCTATTTTTTATTCTTTCTTTACAAATAAAATGAAATATAAATAAATAAATTAAATTAAATTCTTAACTAGTTAAATACCTTGCATGAAAGACTTGACATTCAGGGCAGGACAATTATAGAAAACTGACACTAACAATAATGATTGCAGACAATTACAGTTGTAAAGTACTGTATAAGAACTTATTTTAGGCAACTCAAAAGTACATTAACAGGCAACCCAGGTTGGTCACGTATGCGACCTGAATTAGTGTGCTGCAAAGCGTGGTGGCTTCACAGCAATTACTTGCTCATTATTTTACTAAACTCACACGCAAACCATTGAGGTGCATGTGATTATTACCCGTACCTTATTATTAGTAGAAGGCCCATAGTGAACGGTGTATCTTCGTGGGACTGTCTTAGATAGGCATGAATGGTTGCCATTATGCCAGTCTCTGATCCTTTATCCAGCCTCAGATATTGGCTGATTACTGTTGAGGGTAAAAGGAGATCAATGATCAATGTATCCTGAGTCCACAATAAAAGGACATCAATCATCAACCTATTAATATTAATAATATTGAAGGGCCCAGAATGAGGTTGTGTGAAATTGACAAATTCTTCTGAAAGTTTCAGATTTCATTCATCAACGTTAATTTATGTTTTAGGATGTTATATGACAAACTTTATCAAGACACTGGGAGTACTCCCTTACATGACCTATAATCTAGTGTGAGGATAGGGTCCTAAAATAGCAGGTGTTGTCCTATGTAGGGCAGGTTTACCTTTTTTTAATCCTAAATGGGGTCTGGGGCTCAGACCCTCAGCAGCACCCCTATACCCAATTATTGGTCAAGTACACTGCCCCCTGAACAAGATGAAAACTCTCCAGTTATTTGAAGACCCAGTATTGTCCATTATGCACCATGTGCCTTTGTTATTGTTGAGTGAGGCGTCTATTGTTCAGAGACATGTGACCCATTTTCGACAATACCTTTCATTGTGTGCCATTTAACAGCCATTGGAGGGTGGGGGGGGGGGAATAAGACAAATTAGTGTTTGGAGCTAAGAAACTCTTTTACAAGATACTGCAGGGGGAGCAGGGTGTATTGTTCATGGACAATTTGGTGGGTCTAGGAGTTGGGACTTGTACACATTCTTCTTCACCAATATTGATCTCAGACTCCGTTTAGCCCCTTCTATGATAACAACTATCAACTGCAGTTACCCCTTGATTCATTGAGATACTCCACATACTACCGTGCTATCAGTTTAGGATCTGAGTTTGAGGGCCACAGTTTCAAATAAAGAATGTAGCCACTAAAAACATCTTGTAAACCATAAACAGCCAGGGGAAATGTGTTGCTCATGAAATCCATAAGTTTATCGTGGCCATCTCCAGAGTACGTGTGGTTTGGGCCCTGTAAGAAACCAAATACAACCAAAAAACTTGTAAATTTCCATTGAGGACCTGCTTTTTCATTATCAAAGGTCTGTCCAAACGAGAAATGTCTGATGACCACACACTCCTAAAACATGTTTGGTGGCCAAAGTGGTCGTGATGTTGAACATGCTGTCCAAATGGTATGAAACATGTTAGATCTAAATGTAGAAGCCGGATAAAGCCTAGCATTTATGCAATACAAAGCACAAAAAATGTGAACAGGCATCAAAAGGGCAAAACTTTGCTCCACAAACACTGGACAATATAAATGTTTGGCAACAGGTGTTTGTTTAGTTTTGACAGACTTCAAAGTTTTGAATATATATGTTTGAAAACTTTTGAAAATACTAATGAACTTTTAATAGTTTCAATTTTCAAGATCACATCTTATTAACATTCATGAAAAAAACAAGTCCAGATAATCGAGGTTTGACTGCAATTAAATGAACTTACGGGATCGCATGGAAATCGTGCCAATAGCACTATTAGATAAGTTTATCTTACCAGCGATGTAAATGTGCCAGTCGGCCCTCTGTGCCGCTTCTTTTGTCCAACTTTTTCCGCGGCTCTCAAGACCTTCAAGGTCAACCTTCGTCATCACATCGTACACCAAGCCTCGTGGAACTGCCAACTGGTGGTGCTCTCGTAACTTTCAGTGCATTGATCGGTACCCCAAAAGTTGTCCTGGTCCACTAATTTCTTCTTTAACTGCCATTTCC